GTGGAAACAATCACAGCAAACCTATTGTGGGGTTGTGGGAGGGTTGTGGAAACAATGACAGCAAACCTATTGTGAGGGCATGGGAGGATTGTGGAAACAATGACAGCAAACCTATTGTGAGGGCGTGGGAGGATTGTGGAAACAATGACAGCAAACCCATTGTGAGGGCGTGGGAGGATTGTGGAAACAATGACAGCAAACCTATTGTGAGAGCATGGGAGGATTGTGGAAACAGTCACAGCAAACCTATTGTGAGGGCTCGGGAGGATTGTGGAAACAATGACAGCAAACCTATTGTGAGGGCGTGGGAGGATTGTGGAAACAATGACAGCAAACCTATTGTGACGGCATGGGAGGATTGTGGAAACAATGACAGCAAACCCATTGTGAGGGCGTGGGAGGATTGTGGAAACAATGACAGCAAACCTATTGTGAGGGCATGGGAGGATTGTGGAAACAATGACAGCAAACCTATTGTGGGGTTGTGGGAGGGTTGTGGAAACAATGACCGCAAACCTCTTGTGAGGGAATGGGAGGATTGTGGAAACAATGACAGCAAACCCATTGTGAGGGCTTTGGAGGATTGTGGAAACAATCACAGCAAACCTATTGTGGGGTTGTGGGAGGGTTGTGGAAACAATCACAGCAAACCTATTGTGAGGGCGTGGGAGGGTTGTGGAAACAATGACAGCAAACCTATTGTGAGAGCATGGGAGGATTGTGGAAACAATCACAGCAAACCTATTGTGAGGGCGTGGGAGGGTTGTGGAAACAATCACAGCAAACCTATTGTGGGGTTGTGGGAGGATTGTGGAAACAATGACAGCAAACCTATTGTGAGGGCGTGGGAGGATTGTGAAAACAATGACAGCAAACCTATTGTGAGGGCGTGGAAGGATTGTGGAAACAATGACAGCAAACCTATTGTGAGGGCGTTGGAGGGTTGTGGAAACAATGACAGCAAACCTATTGTGAGAGCAAGGGAGGATTGTCGAAACAATCACAGCAAATCTATTGTGGGGTCATGGGAGGGTTGTGGAAACAATGACAGCAAACCTATTGTGAGGGCGTGGAAGGATTGTGGAAACAATGACAGCAAACCTATTGTGAGGGCGTGGAAGGATTGTGGAAACAATGACAGCAAACCTATTGTGAGGGCGTGGAAGGATTGTGGAAACAATGACAGCAAACCTATTGTGGGGGCGTGGAAGGATTGTGGAAACAATGACAGCAAACCTATTGTGAGGGCGTGGAAGGATTGTGGAAACAATGACAGCAAACCTATTGTGAGGGCGTGGAAGGATTGTGGAAACAATGACAGCAAACCTATTGTGGGGGCGTGGAAGGATTGTGGAAACAATGACAGCAAACCTATTGTGAGGGCGTGGAAGGATTGTGGAAACAATGACAGCAAACCTATTGTGAGGGCGTGGAAGGATTGTGGAAACAATGACAGCAAACCTATTGTGGGGGCGTGGAAGGATTGTGGAAACAATGACAGCAAACCTATTGTGAGGGCGTGGAAGGATTGTGGAAACAATGACAGCAAACCTATTGTGAGGGCGTGGAAGGATTGTGGAAACAATGACAGCAAACCTATTGTGGGGGCGTGGAAGGATTGTGGAAACAATGACAGCAAACCTATTGTGAGGGCGTGGAAGGATTGTGGAAACAATGACAGCAAACCTATTGTGAGGGCGTGGAAGGATTGTGGAAACAATGACAGCAAACCTATTGTGAGGGCGTGGAAGGATTGTGGAAACAATGACAGCAAACCTATTGTGAGGGCGTTGGAGGGTTGTGGAAACAATGACAGCAAACCTATTGTGAGAGCATGGGAGGATTGTCGAAACAATCACAGCAAATCTATTGTGGGGTCATGGGAGGGTTGTGGAAACAATGACAGCAAACCTATTGTGAGGGCGTGGAAGGATTGTGGAAACAATGACAGCAAACCTATTGTGAGGGCGTGGAAGGATTGTGGAAACAATGACAGCAAACCTATTGTGGGGGCGTGGAAGGATTGTGGAAACAATGACAGCAAACCTATTGTGAGGGCGTGGAAGGATTGTGGAAACAATGACAGCAAACCTATTGTGGGGGCTTGGAAGGATTGTGGAAACAATGACAGCTAACCTATTGTGAGGGCGTGGGAGGATTGTGGAAACAATGACAGCAAACCTATTGTGAGGGCGTGGAAGGATTGTGGAAACAATGACAGCAAACCTATTGTGAGGGCGTGGAAGGATTGTGGAAACAATGACAGCAAACCTATTGTGAGGGCGTGGAAGGATTGTGGAAACAATGACAGCTAACCTATTGTGAGGGCGTGGAAGGATTGTGGAAACAACGACAGCAAACCTATTGTGAGGGCGTGGAAGGATTGTGGAAACAATGACAGCAAACCTATTGTGAGGGCGTGGAAGGATTGTGGAAACAATGACAGCAAACCTATTGTGAGGGCGTGGAAGGATTGTGGAAACAATGACAGCAAACCTATTGTGAGGGCGTGGAAGGATTGTGGAAACAATGACAGCAAACCTATTGTGAGGGCGTGGAAGGATTGTGGAAACAATGACAGCAAACCTATTGTGAGGGCGTGGAAGGATTGTGGAAACAATGACAGCAAACCTATTGTGAGGGCGTGGAAGGATTGTGGAAACAATGACAGCAAACCTATTGTGAGGGCGTGGAAGGATTGTGGAAACAATGACAGCAAACCTATTGTGAGGGCGTGGAAGGATTGTGGAAACAATGACAGCAAACCTAGGACAAAGGCAGAAGATGATGACGACACTGGAAATCAATGGGCACATGTATAGGATATACTGTTTAACATAGGAGGGTTCTGATGGGATATACTGTTTAACATAGGAGGGTTCTGATGAGGTATTCTGTTTAACATAGGAGGGTTCTCATGGGATATACTGTTTAACATAGGAGGGTTCTGATGAGGTATACTGTTTAACATAGGAGGGTTCTGATGAGGTATACTGTTTAGCATAGTAGGGTTCTGATGGGGTATACTGTTAAACATAGGAGGGTTCTGATGGGGTTTACTGTTTAACATAGGAGGGTTCTGATGGGGTTTACTGTTTAGCATAGGAGGGTTCTGATGGGGTTTACTGTTCAGCATAGGAGGGTTCTGGTTGGGTATACTGTTTAGCATAGGAGGGTTCTGATGGGGTTTACTGTTTAGCATAGGAGGGTTCTGATAGGGTTGACTGTTTAGCATAAGAGGGTTCTGATGGGGTTTACTGTTTAGAATAGGAGGGTTCTGATGGTGTTTACTGTTTAGCATAGGAGGGTTCTGATGTGATAAACTGTTTAGCATAGGAGGGTTCTGATGTGATAAATTGTTTAGCATAGGAGGGTTCTGATGTGATAAACTGTTTAGCATAGGAGGGTTCTGATGTGATAAACTGTTTAGCATAGGAGGGTTCTGATGTGATAAACTGTTTAGCATAGGAGGGTTCTGATGGTGTATACTGTTTAGCATAGGAGGGTTCTGATGGGGTATACTGTTAAGCATAGGAGGGTTCTGATGGGGTTTACTGTTTAGCATAGGAGGGTTCTGATGGGGTTTACTGTTTAGCATAGGAGGGTTCTGATGAGGTATACTGTTTAGCATAGGAGGGTTCTGATGGGGCATACTGTTAAGCATAGGAGGATTCTGATGGGGTATACTGTTTAGCATAGGAGGGTTCTGATGGTGTATACTGTTTAGCATAGGAGGGTTCTGATGGGGCATACTGTTAAGCATAAACCAACCAAACCAAAACTTCCCTAAATGTAAGATTTGTCAAATTTTATCGTAAAAGAGAAATGTAAAATGTCCATAAAATTGAAGTGTTACTGTTTCTCATCGTGTTAAAATCTTGTAAAAGTCTGAACTAGATCTAATGACAATAAAGCCAGACCGTTTGGTATTTGCAAAACATGAATCACAATGTTCGACGAAAAAGCGCCCACGGCGAAATTTGCTAATATATTGGCCAGTGAACAATCCCAAATAGCATCCCTTCCGATTGATCAATGTACACAAGACTTATTTATTCTTGTATAATACGCACTCGTGTGTTATATGCATCCCTAATTATGGGAAATTAAATTCTTGAAAAATATATCTGTCGTATATAAATATTTCAGGCTGTCAGCATAAACCACGAAATTTACGATCTTTCAACTCTGTTGTTTTACACCAAAAAAATATTCTAATAAAAGCCCCATATTTCTAATTTTGAGAGCGCCCTGGGCGCTTATTATGTCGAATAAGGTACAGTTATGAAACAAAAGCAGAACCAGTTGTCTCCATGTTTAATTACAGGCACACCGCTGATCCACATTGGCAGAGAGATGATTTTACATTTAGATTCAATCTGCCTCTATTCAAGTGTTCTTTTTACTGACTAAGCTGGAAATATACTGACTACTAACTACTGACTAAAGGCCCCAAACTGTACAGTGAGTGAGTGAGTGAGTATGGTTTTACACCGCTTTTGGCAATATTCCAGCAATATCACGGCAGGGGACACCAGATATGAGCTTCACACATTGTACCCATGTCGGGAATCGAACCCGGGTCTTCGGCGTGACGAGTGAACGCTTTAACCACTGGGCTACCCGACCGCCCCCCAAACTGTACAGACTACTGATATGTAACACCCCCATCAACCCTCACACAGTGATGACAAGGGTCATATCCTGGACAAAACACTGATTCAAGTCTGTGATCATTGGGTCCTGGCATGGCTAAGGGAGGCAATTCTGCCTGCTCATTGATGAACACAAAAATTACAGACCAAGGAAAGCTACTGTTCACACATACACAAATCATTATTGCAGTTTTTGTTAAAGTGCTATGTTTTTTAGATAAGAATCAAGTGCAGCAACATTTGAAGGATGTGCAGCTAAAGTGTGTGCATAAACTAGGAAGGTCACATCAAGGAGACTGCACACAAAAAACAGTTAAGAAATATGTCTTCTAAGTATATCCCTACCACAGAAACACGATTGTCACCCCTTTGACCACTCTTCTGAAAATACAGTTTGAACTTCACAGACACATGACAGATTGATAATCCAGTTTGTTGACATGTTTGCACAAAGTATGCTGGTTACTAGTATTTGTGATATGACAAAGAGAAGAGTGAGTGAGGCTGGTTTAACACAACTTTTAACAGTGTTCCAGTCACATCCCACCCTCACACATCCACCCTCAAACATCCACACCCATCCACCCTCACACACCCACCCTCACACACCCACCCTCACATACACACCCTAACACACCCACCCTCACACCCACCCTCACACACACTCTCACACACACACTCTCACACATCCACCATCACACATTCACCATCACACACACACCCTCACACACCCACCCTCACACATCCACCCACACCCACCCACCCTCACACATCAACCATCACACACACACCTTCACACATCCACCATCACACACCCACCCTCACACACCCACCCTCACACATCCACATCACACACCCACGCTCACACATTCACCCACACCCACCCTCACACATCCACCCTCACACATCCACCCTCACACATCCACCATCACACACCCACCCTCACACACCCACCCTCACACACCCACCCTCACACATCCACATCACACACCCACGCTCACACATTCACCCACACCCACCCTCACACATCCACCCTCACACATCCACCCTCACACATCCACCATCACACACCCACCCTCACACACCCACCCTCACACATCCACCCTCACACACCCACCCTCACACATCCACCCACACCCACCCACCCTCACACATCAACCATCACACACACACCTTCACACATCCACCATCACACACCCACCCTCACACACCCACCCTCACACATCCACATCACACACCCACGCTCACACATTCACCCACACCCACCCTCACACATCCACCCTCACACATCCACCCTCACACATCCACCATCACACACCCACCCTCACACACCCACCCTCACACATCCACCCTCACACATCCACCCTCACACATCCACCCTCACACATCCACCATCACACATCCACCCTCACACATCCACCCTCACACATCCACCATCACACATCCACCCTCACACATCCACCATCACACATCCACCCTCACACATCCACCCTCACACATCCACCATCACACATCCACCCTCACACATCCACCCTCACACATCCACCCTCACACATCCACCCTCACACATCCACCCTCTCACACACCCACCCTCTCACATCCACCATCACACATCCACCTACAAACAACCTACAAACAATCAGGGTGAATTTGGATTCAAACCCATGGTCATAGGTTCCTGGCATGGCAAAGGGACACAACTCTACATAGCTAATTGCAGTGCCTGAGACAACTTGGCCATCCTAGAGGAACATAGCTCACCCTGGTGTATTTGTTGTTCAGAAGGATCATCTGGGTGCTGGAGTTGCGGACATCATACACTCGGGACACAGGGCTTTGCTTGGGCCAGGGGATGCCATTGAATGGTACCCTGGAAGGAAAAGACAAGAAACATGTTGTTTATCTATATGCATTTCAATGAAATAAACAATCATCATTTGAATACAATGAAACTGCATTTAACTCTGAATAAGATCACCCAGGCTGTAACCATGGTAATTAGCAATATAACCCTTGACAATTAAATTATTTTTCAAACAAAAGGTATACAAAAAAGAAATTCTGTGAACTCGCTGAGTTTCCACTAAGAAAAGAATTCTGCATGTGAAAATAAGTACATTTCTCCCAGTCGGGCAAGAGGAATGTCCTTGGCTTAGCCAGCTGGCCGTCACAATTACATACAAGCCATGGACATCTATAATAGGTGAGGTGAGGTGAAATTGGGTTTAAAATCTCGTCCAAGATTATTGCACTTAAATATAGCGAGGTGCATGCACATGTTTGTGTGGCTGCTTGTACTAGTTCTGACTAATGCCGATTTATAGTGCTAGCTCACTGAGATACCATGCTGCAGTTTAACATGAATACCCCACTCAGACACAGTATACTGACTCCGAGCAGACCAGTCCTTGTTTGAGCCCCTTTCTGCTGAGCACCAGACAGGGTAACAACAAGTACCATCTTTTAACGTCTTTTGGTATGACGCGGACGGGGATCAAACCCCTACATTCCGCTCTCCGGGCGGACACTCTTCCACTAGGCCACGGAGGCGGTCGACATCTAAAATAAATAGCCTTAATTGACCACCCACATATTTTAGTTGTCGTTTCTGGCCACTCCAACCCTATTTCATCTACATATGTTGGTCATCCAGTCATTGTTTCAATAACCATTATTGGCCATTATTTGCCATCCAATCGATGTATCATTTGCCTTTTCCATCCACCAAATTCATTATCATGTTATTATGAGGGCCTAGACTTGTTTTGATAAAACAGATACAAATACGGGTATTTATATAGATTATTACATCGCATGTGTGTCAGACTGATATTACGATACGATAAGCAAGAACGAGGGTAATACATAAATTCTTACACAAGTTTGGTAAAATCAGTATGACACACATGCGAAAGTAAGGAGTTCTTTATTACCCATTATTTCTTAAACCTTTGGAGCTACCCTTTAGAAAAATGCACTGATCATGACTAGGGCTGGGACCCGGGACGGGTGTGTACTGAGTAGGACCCGGGTACCCACAACCCGGACCCGTGGTTAGTCACGTGATATATTGTTTCATGACAAAAATTATCTAGAACTCTATGGTAACACCTCAAGTCACCAATGTTCGCATTTCTTTCTGACTATGCACCCTGTGCGATTTTTCATATGGTTGAATAAAGATATAACTTAATTCAACTTCAGTGTATGAATGACCAGGTTGTTTAATACATGTATCTAAAAACGTTTTGCCAGGGCTATGCTAAAAATATTCCCAATCGGACATTTTGAGACATCTCCTGAGATCTTCAGTGGGTACCCGGGTAGGGTTGGGTGATAGGGAGGTGGGTACCCGGGTAGTAAATTTGGACTCGTCCCAGCCCTAATCATGACCGCTGTTCTAGAAAGCCATATCAATGTTGAATGACATCAACAAAAGTCACCTAATATGTCTTTTCTAGTGTGACATCATTACGTTCTTACGTCTCATTGTTACATCAGTACCGTTGGGATGATGTTAACAATACACAGGTGCGCGTGAACTGATATTTGTGCCTGTGCACATCTGATTTTTATGAATTTGGTTATTTCTAACCGTATGGGTAATAAAACTAAGTCTATTAATGTCGGATTAATAGTCATTTTCATAGAGATCTACACTAAAGCAGATCACTTTAAACACTCTCCCAATCTCATAAAAATCAGATCTTTTACTCTGATATAATACCTCTTTGCATGAAGATCTGAGGACACCTTCATTGGTAGTTGTGCATCAGGTGAACTTTCTTAGCAACCAATCAGTGACAAGGAATAATGGTATGAGTGAGTGAAGCATTCAGACAAGCTTATCTGATTTCTGTGTCTTAAAAACCAACTTTATTGGGGAGTTCCAAATGCAAAATAATAAAGCTGTGTTATTATATGGTTGTGGATATTTATGCATACTGTCATTTCTGAGTGTTGTGGCTTTTACACCCAAAAGGATGTGCTTTGAAGGTATATATTTGTGTTCTGTGGCGTTTTTCTTCTGTCATCTTCCCAAGGCTAGGGAGTTAACTGACTAACAAAGTCCAGTTTCACCCCTTGCCAAACATGGCTGCAATGAGTGAGTTATATTTAGGCTGGACTAACGAGTTTATGCATAGTCCAATCAAAATCGCGTAACAAAATCAACATCCGGTTCGTAAGCTGCCATGCAGATTTCGATTGATTGCAGGATTTGCAAAGCATGTGTACCGTCAACTTAGCATCAACAGATAATTTCCACATCTGTTCATGTTTTTAATGAAGGTGCTCGCGTGATTTGATGCCAAGTGATACCTGTTTTATTACAATATAGATCTTGATTATCTATCAGATCGTCTTGACTGGGTGCTGCCATTTTGTTTGAAGCAAATGATAGTGATATGAGAGGTGGAATCTGATTGGCTAAAAGGATGGACAGAAAAGGGACGTAACTCATAATGGCCACTGGTGTGGATACAATTGAACCCAGAAACTCCTGCCTAGTTCGGCAAAGTGAAAACTGGACTTTTAGAGTAAGTTAATTTTAAGCTTTGGAAAGATGTTCTGTTAAAATAGAAATTCCTGAATGGAGGTAAATCGTTTCAGGAAGTTGACACATTATTACCTACACATCTTTCATGGGGTCAAAGTTCGCTCAGGATTCACCTGATGTGACCTTGTAGAGACGTGTCCTCAGATCTCCACACAGAGGTATCTTACTGGGTAACCGACCGACACTCTCCCAACTGATTGCAAACATAACCTACATTTCATGTACAAGAAGGTCAAAGACCAACATCTGGAAGATGTTTTCTTGACTTTTTTCATACAATATATTCATCTAACAATCAATAAAAAGATCCTTTAATATTTCAACATATTAAAAAACAAACATGCAAAAAAATACAATCGTGACATTCTACTGAATATGTTTTTCTGAAAACACTTCCAAAAGGTCATGAAAACATGTTTCCCCACTCAGCAGTTGGATGGCTCTTTCCCATGAAGAACCACAACGAACAGGTTCATAGATTTCCGGAATGAGTGCATGTATATTTCACATTGATCCATGTAACACTGCTTAGATCAAAAGGCTGATTGATTGTTGATTTCATCAAACACTCCCACTAATGTGTCCTGACAACTTATGTCAATCAATACTAACAAATCAATTTCATGAGCTCACAGAAGGAGAGAGTTACTGAAATGAAACAAATTTCTTTTAAGGAAAATGTCATTTAATCAATTTTGGTTATTCAAATAAAATAAAATATTGTATTGGTGGGGTTTATTTTCACTTGGAGGGCTTTCATCAGGTTGTTTTCTTCATAAAAATAACAATGGTATAAGAGAAGACTGATGTTTGTTAATGAAACAAAACAGTTAAAATTATTGATTACAGTATTCGCCATGCTAAGCACTGCACTCTGATAAGCACCTCCCCTGACCAAGTTTTAGTTCACTCTGCAAATAATCTTTATAAGCACCCATTACTACGGTATGCCAGAAAGTTTACAGGAAAGTGCATTTATTTCCTTGTGTATAATACAGTTTTTACAGAAAATACAGCAGTTGAGAAGGTGCATATTACACACACAAACATTGAGCTATATTGGCTCTAATTCCAAAACCAGAACATTAGCGCGGGCATGTCAACACCAAACATAGCAAGTCAATATAAAATGTCACATCCAGAGAATGACCAGTCTTGATTATCTGCCCAAACAGATTCCATTTGGCACAAAGTGGTGAGTGAGTAAGAGGTTTTATGCCGCTTTTAGCAATATTCCAGCAATATCACAGCGGGGGACACCAGAAATTGGCTTCACACATTGTACCCATGTCGGGAATCGAACCGGGGTCTTCGGCGTGACGAGCGAGCGCTTTAGCCATAAGGCTACCCAACCGCCCCTGGGCTCAAAGACGAAAAAATCATTGAAAATTATGGATCACGGAAAAAAGTGATGACACCAGTTTTGTATTAGTTTCCAAAGTTTACTGGCCAGGAAAAAAATGTTGTAAGCCCTCATCATATTTTACTAGCCCAAAACACATCCGATAAACTTTGAAATATAAACAAAATCATAACAGACTTTGACAATAAATTACGCCTTAACTGACTTGATGATTTGTGGAAATAAATATGTATTGACTACAGTATTCAACAAGACATTTGGGCCAGCTTTGTTACAAGCCCAATTCATAAGTGGCATTTTGGCTAGCGAGCAGGCAACTATTTAGAACACTGGATGACACCAGGTGTTTGTGATAAGGGTAAGCATGTCCTGCTCTACCTGTAGCACCAGGCACCCACAAACACTGCACAGCAGTACTGCCATAAACATGGCCTGGAAACAAACAAGTCATGACCAGACTGTCAATTTTGACGTTCGCTATTAGTTCCACAATTACATTAATTGGTAAACAGTGTGTCTGCATTTAAGTATTTATGATCCATTTCATTATCACACTGGTATCCTTCAAAATTTAATATATACATATTTAATTCAATTACCATCAAAATAGTGTTGGAACCAGTCAGACGATCACGACAACCCACTGTGTACAGCTACACTGACCAGACTGGATGCCTTGAAATGAACATTAGTTGTCGGAAGTTGAATACCTTAATTGCTAAAATTAGACAAAAAATGAGTCATGGTTGTCATCACTTGAAAATCTTATCAATCTGTCGCTTCAGGGCATTTCCTATGATGCAATCACTCATTGGTCGATATTGAACTGTGACTTGTCAAACTGTTCCATACAATTGAAAACTACCCAATGATGCTAAGTACTACCTCCTGAACCTGAGCTCCATGCCACAACAGCAATCTTAGCTCTAAGACGATCTTAATTCCCACA